TAATATTAATGACCCTTCTGTAAAGCTATAAGTAAGTGGATGAGAAGCGAAGTGCAGGTCAGGGTGTGAACTGTGACCATATATTACTCGAGGAGATTGATAAATGGGTCGCTTGAACTGTTCAGTGAGCTTGATGAGATCGAGTTTTCATATGTGAGAGGAGTTCAAAGGCCAGTCAACTGATTGATCCGCGGGCTTTTCCCTAGTAAACGGCACTCGCATGTTGTGACTGAAAATCACAAAAGTACCCAAGAGCTTACTCGGGGGTTCATGCATACCGTCAGTAGTTGCCCTAATGCTTCTGTTCTTAAAAAGAGTGCACCAATACCATCACACTACTCTCCCATTTATGACCCTCCAATAGAAGTAAATATCAGTGTTACCTTCTGTGATTCGGGGATCTAGTAGAAATGACCTTTGACTCATATTCAACCTACGTTTAAGCGAGCCAGGAGGGCCATCAAGTTCAAGCTCGCTCTGGTGCGATGACAGGCAAACATCAGCTCCCTCTCCTGTTTCGCCGCTGAGGACCTCGAAAGCGGGCACAGCGGGTGACAGATGCCACAGCCCTTGGCTTCGGCGACGGACAGATGTCCTCCCCGGGTTTCCTCACACCGCGACCTGCGTCTTGATAGTCACCTATTGGCTGTTGTAGCCTAGTGTGGTCGTCGGGTCTTGATCCGTAGGTCTGTCAAGTAGGAGTCCTAACTGCGTAAGAGCTGTAGCTGCTACAGTCCTGAAAAGTCAAAGTTGTAGCTGCTACAGGCCCGAAAGGTCAAGTCCACAGACTTCCGGAAGGCCTGTAAGTGACCTTTCGTAGAGTCCTAAGAGTCAGCCTTGGGGCAAGTGGGCAGTCCAACCTTGCCTAGTCAGCGGTACCTTGTCCCAGTCGCACCTTGTCCAGTCAGCAAGTACCATGTGGGACTGTGCGCACCCTGGGCCCGGGGCAAAGGAGCAGACCAGTAATCATCCGAAGTATAAATCAAGAGGCAGCGTCCAGTCATTGATTCATTCTGCCTGTGGGCCATGTGGAAGCATGCTGCCTGAGCGTCTTGTGCAAGGAAGTTTGCAGGTGCCCGTGGAATAGAGGGCTGAAGGGGGGAAGTTCGGCCATAGCCGAAGGTGTTAGTTCTAGGAGGAAGACAGCAGCCATACCCGCCACGTCAGCATGTCAGTAGGGTGTTAGTGTGTAAGAGAGAGTTAAGTGTGTGCGTGTCGGGACATCCAGGAAGATCCAGTGTGTGTGTACGAACACGTTGCTGAGAGCGCACGTGTCGGCCATAGCCGGCCAGGACAAGTTCGAATCTGAGTTGTGTTCTTGGCGTCATTATCTCTGAGCTTTGTGTGGGCGCTAGTCGCCAACTCGATCGTCATCTGTTTGTATGCATGCGGAAGGTCGAAGTCGAGAAGTCTGATTGCAGACCAAATCCTGCAGCAGCTGAACACCCTTGCTTTGGATCAATCCCCGTCGTCGGCAGCCCATAGAGAGGGAATAAATACTGAGGAAACCCAAGAAACCTGCTTAATACCGCTTTGTGATGACCCACCGGAGATTCAGCTAGCATGTTGTTCGCATGCCTTGTGCCGTGAGGACTATGAAGGGGTAGCCCATGCGAGTTTTTGTCTTCATACGTATGATGACAGTCGATACTGCACTCATGTACGGCACCCTGGCATGTCATGTCCAATTTATAGACAGACTGGAGCGGCAATGCCTCTACAGTTGCGGTTGGCGTGCCTAGCATGTAGGAGCCACGCAGCCTGTGACATCTGTCTGTGTTGTGCCGTTCAATGCAGCAATTGTGACTGCGTGAATTGGATGCAGTGCTTCCACAGTCCACACCGAACCTATCCTGTCCGGTCTGTAGAGGCAGCCACTTACCATAGGTAACGACTGCTCCTCAATCCAAAATCTTATGCAACCCAAACACTGACTGGCCTTACTTGCCATTCTGGAGTAGTCTGCTTCAGCGGTGACTGTTTAGAATCCTGTCAGAATTCCACCTCCCAGTTCCTTCTTCCCTCTTCTTGTGTACTACTAGTAAATGCATGCAGATGAGCATCATTCAGAGAACAGACAAAAATTAGGCTGGAGGTCTGAGGAAATCTGAGGAAAAATGAACAGGAATATACCTCCGCCTTTACTCTGCCTCCTTTCACATCGTGCAAGTGGGACGTTGTGGCATACTGAGGCGTGGGCAGCTCGCGCTCAACCACAATCAACATCGCGAGCCTTGTACATGAGCGACACAGTAAAAGTGGAGCGGCAAGAACAAATGAAAGGGGTACCCCAAAGAAAGCAAAAGTGAAAACAATTAAGAGAGGGATTTAAAGTTTTTAACCACTTCTATTATATGCCGTGTTGCTTGCGCTTCATGTGAAAATGTTTCATTGTTAGATTTTCTCAACTCAAGGGCCTTCGTTCTCTGCAATAGGATTAAATCTGCTTCAATTTTGAATCTACTCATCTTGTTTTTTTTTTCGTTTTTTTTGGCCTGTTTCCTTTTTTGATGTTTGCACTATGGTGTCATATCGTTTGTTTTTAAAATTTTTGATGAAATTCGCACCGCCATGCATGGTTCTTTTTGTCAACTGCCAGTTATTGTCTGTTTCTCTTGTACATGATGTGTCAATCGTGACGTGGTTGTTTGATTGCTTGGATGATGGTTTGGCATGCCCGAGCAGCATTTGGAATTATGTGGATGGTGAAACTATACAAACGTTCCAGAATCAGACCGGTGCACCAGGGGAAAAGGGTGTGTCCAAGCTGTGTTTTGTGAACGAACTTGATTCGGACTGCTTACTTCTTGCTGGTTCATGTGAGTGATTTCATAAATTCTCCTCTAAACCCTCTGCCCTCTCCTCTATATGACAATGAAGAGATTTCCCCCCCCCCGCCCCGTTTCCTTATTTTAAAAAGTTATACCTGGCAGCTCTGAAGATAATGGTATCCCACAGGATGTGAATTGTCAATTTGTATATCATCAGTTTTAGGTGTGTGCCATCAATCACCAGACCACTACTGGTGGAATGTGCTGTGCAGAATTGTCTGTGCAAGCAAGCCTTCCAAATGTAGTCCCCACCACCATAAAAATTGCTAATGTAAAGAATGTGATATCCGCGGTCTTTAAAAAAAAGGCAAAGGAAATCCACACTGTCTATTAAAAAAGGAAAACCGCGCGGTCTGTTGTCCTATCGCGCCCACAGCCCAGATTTTGCAGGAATAAAAGAAATCTGATATGTGGCCCAACGGCCCCAAACGTTGGGCAGTCTTTATGTTTTGTGACTGGCTTTTGGGCAGTGTACGGGTCCACTGCCAAACAACGGATCCATTGACCAGATGTGTCAATCCACTGTAATCCTCCTCGGACCCACCCCTTCTCCCTTATATGTCGTTCTTCTCTCCCACTTTGCAACCACTTTCCTCCCTTGTGTTCTTCTCGTCATGTGTACAAATTGATTGCTGACGTACTTGTTAAAACTGTTTCCATATCTTCTATCTACTTTTTTTCATAGTCTCTAAGGGATCCTCTTGCTAATATTATCAAATCAACACAGGACTTCCCTTGGGATTTGCAGTTCGCCCCCAGGGAGTCCTTTCTGGAAAGGTGGTGGAGTGAGATCGTGGAGAGATTTCCGCGGCACCCTGAGCGCATGTGACTGTCTAAGCGTACACAGGCACTGATTACATGCATCAAAGTCAAGGCCATGAATGGCATCAATGGACTTTGGGAAACAGGGCCCCGCCAAACTTCTTTGAGATGATAGGAATTAGTGATCTTGTGGTCCTTGCCGGTAAATGGAACACACCTAGGAACTCGTTTGGTCGTGAACTGGAGGCACTTGGTAAGAAGCTGGAAGAAGGGAGGGCAGATCAGAGTCTAGGGCCTGTACGGGCAACATCAAAGTTTGCAATGATGTTTCCCTCCGAAAGGGAGAAGGTACTGGTTGCCAAGTGGCCTGGAAGTCACCTCCCAAGAGGCAAGCAGGCTGCTATATCTCCAGGAGGAGTGAAGTGCTCCTCCTCATTCTACGGTGTGAAAGTTTGGCAACACACTGCTTGGAGTGCTGGCTGGAGCAGCGGTGGTTGGAGCAGCGCTGCTGGGGAAGGAGGAGCGCCCAGCTCCCCACCTTAGCTACTATGGAGGAGTTCGGGCTGGAGGAGGAGGAAGACATGGACTAGGAAGGGAGCGCCAGAGGTACTTACCTGGCTATGGTGGGCGCCATCTTCATCACCATGGTGGGCGCTGCATCTGGAAGGCCCCAGTGGGGGTAGAGCTACATCAAGAAGCTTCAAGGCAGAGTCAGGCATGGCGGCCTGAGTGGAAGCAGCCATAGCTGCTTGTGTTGTCCTTTGCACATCAGGGCAGGGCCCTGGTAGTCCGCCATAGCTCTCGTCCTGGAGGAAGAAGGAAGAGGGAGGCGGCCATGGTTATGGAACTTATGGTGGACCTCACATTGTGTCAGCAGTAGAAAAGGGATTTGGACATTGATTCTGGTTCGGCCATTCATCATTATTATTGTTTATTGTTTGAATAAAGAGGGGAGGAGAAAAGGAGGAGGAGATAGGTTGGCGAGAAGAAGGGAATTATAATTGGTCTCTCTTCTTCTTCTTCTTTCTATCTCTCTTCTCTCAAGTTCATTCATTTCCGTTTGCAATTGGTCAGCATTGTGCTTTCTCATGAATTTGTACTTTTAAATTGGCCAGGGTCATAGGCTTGTGGCTCGTGTGGAGCAAATCTTCTTGATCTGGAACCTCGACGATTCGAACCTAAGGGGTAGATTGCCTGCTGCACCGCCACCACCACCACCCGCAGTCTGGATGCTCAAGGAATGTTGCACACCCCAAAGCGCGCTGTGATGCCCTCAAGGAGCTCGGAGATGACGCAAGCCATTGCGGCGATGTCTGCCACAGTGCACATAACTCCTCCAAGACCATGTAGGGCTTCGGTTGACCCTGATGCAGAATACACGGCCTTCACACCCCTTGTTTCATTCAGATGGATCGAGCACATGGCTATTGGTTTTAGGCATGCCATCTGGAAGATGGACACCTTCAACCATCTCGACACCTTCACAATCGGTGCGTATCAGTTCCTTGTCGGTATCAGCGACACTGAGGTTGTGAAACGCCGAGCCATTGCCATGAAATGGAATATGGATCATTTCAGCAGGGAATGCAAATCTATCGAGCCGTTTGATCTCATGTTCCCGCCCATGTCTTATCTTGATCCGAGAAAGTGTGGCAACTCTTCGGTGGTCCTGTGGCAAAACGGTCTCGAGCAGGCTCCTACCTGTGAACTCCGATGCCTCCGAAAGGTCTGGAGCGCAGGGGGTCCGTATTTCACTTGCAAATGCAAGCTTGGTGATGCGAAGGAATGTGATGGGGGTCCTCGCTGGTTTGATCACAGGCTGTGGTTCCCTTCTCGCGCACTGCGATGTCCTATTCGGAATATGTCGTCGATTAAGACTTGCACCTCTATCCTCATCCATTATCTGCGCTCATCATGGAAGGGTGCAGTGAAAACTGCAACCATATTCATATTCATACGAGAACAGATGATGAATGTGGTTTCCAACCTAAAGGAGGACAACTCCGGAAACACTGAGGCAGTCATCAATGGTGAGAAAATATGGGAGCACCCTATGCCACCCGTTGTCGGTAGTATCCTCCTCCCCGCCCGCGTGCCTGCACAGCCTCGCGGGATCGTCTCTCCGAAATTTGCCGAGCGGAAGAGAGCGGACAACGGGTTCAGCCACCTAATGAAGCCAACCGTGCTCCCAAAAGAGACATGGAAGCAAAGACAACATGCAATGCTCAAGCACAGGATGCTATACAACGACTGGTGGTTGGACGAAATAATGAGCAATGCTATCTGCTGCAATGATTCACAAGCCAATCACCCTCAACCTTGCGTACACATGCAACAAGCATCCAGATGGGTCTTTACACTTGGAACCGATAGTCGAGAAACAAGAATCACACAAGAGATTGATGCGCAAAATATCTTTATTCTTCAAAGAAAGTGTTCGTCTACTGCAGTGTCTGCCGCTCACACAGTCTCAGACTCGAACCAGGTATGTAACCGAGTAGCGCTTCCTCTCTCTCTCTCTCTCTCTCTCTCTCTCTCTCTCTCTCTCTGCCCTTGTATCGCTCAACCTCACAGTCTCTCTCTCTCCCTATCTCTCCTGCCTTGGACCATTCCCTGGATACACCGGTTCAGTTCAGACTCAGACCTTGGCGGCAATGGCTGCCCTGCTCCCCTATCACTACCCTAGTTATGGTTGTCATTGATGCTTCCTTCTCCTTCGAGCGTTGTTTTGCCGGAGTCGCTTTGTCACACAAGCAGCAGCAGCGCTTCTGCAACTTCATGAATGAACAACTGGTGAGCCGCTGCATTGTAGCAGCTAAATATAGAACTTGTCGGGGTTTGTATTGCTTCAGACTGGTACCGTCGGCCACGACCTGTCTGCTGCAATCATTTTGTCGGTCTGGAAACTTCCCGAACCTTCTTGGGACTTGCTGCAATTTTGTGGACTTGGGACTGGACTGGATGTTTCTGGACTTTGCTGTCAGGTACCGGACTAACTGCGCAGCGAGTCAACTTTCGAAATCTATCCCGACTTAGATGTACGACTCCTCAATTGGCCCATTGGACCTACCCCTCGTGACACTGGGTCTTTGGACTACGAACCCGTCTGGAAATGGGAATCCTGTATTGTTTTTACCGCGCCTGCGCCGCCGGTTAGCGCACGCCACCAAGGGCTAGGGGCTAGCGCTTCAGCGGTAGCTCCGACGCGCGGATTTTCGCCCGCGCAGCGGTTTCGAATTTTCGAACCGCGTGCCTCACCCTTCGTCGCGGGCATCTGCCTGCAGCCCAACTTCCCACCACCGCGCGCTCCCGAGCTCCCAAGCCACCATCGCCAGCAGCAGAGGAGAGCCCTGCCTCACCAGGAAACAACTTCAACTTCGCAAGTGTGAAAGCCTACATCGCCAGATGTAGGGGAGCCCCCCGCCATACCTGGACGTCACGGGCCTCCAACTCGACGCTTCTGGAAGACAACGGAGGTTCCTGCACTCTCGTAGCCGCCAACACGAAGCCGTCAGGGACAAGTACCAATCTTGGAGGGATGCATGCAACCCCGTGGACTAGCTGACAGCCCGATCACCCAACAGCCATCACCAACGGAGGAGATCGTTCTCTACCTACCAGAAGACTCCCAACGCGTCGCATGAGCCCCGTATTTCCGTACCAACCCCGAACCTCATCCTTCCTGCAAACCTCCCCCAACCCCCCCTAACCCCCAACTCGACGCTTCCGGAAGACAACGGAGGTTCCTGCACTCTCGTAGCCACCAACACGAAGCCGTCAGCGACAAGTACCAATCTCGGAGGGATGCATGCAACCCCGTGGACTAGCTGACAGCCCGATCAGCCAGCAGCCATCACCAACGGAGGAGATCGTTCTCCACCTACTAGAAGACTCCCAACGCGTCGCATGAGCCCGGTATTTCCGGACCAACCCCGAACCTCATCCTTCCTGCAAACCTCCCCCAACCCCCCCTAACCCCCCGCTCCCCGCCCCCGACAACTTCGGATAACTTCCACCCTACTCCTCTATGCTAACCCACTCCCGGTGGCCCACACCCCGCCCTCAGGCACAATTAGTACACCACACGAGCACCCTTTACCCCCCCCTGGATATCCCAGCTGCACACGCACCCACTCAAGTAGCATCAAGATCCGCCCCTCACAGCTAGCCTCCCCTACCCGCC